CTAGGGGAAGTGTGGCTAAGGCTGTAGCCCCATGTAACAAGTGCTGCTAAGCTGAGGTGGAGTTAGCCTGTGATATGATGATAGATAATAGGGTTTGGGTTGGTATGAATAGGGCATACATTTTAGATTTTATCATTTTAGTTTGTGTGCACCCTATGTGTTTTTAGACTTCAGTCTTTTAGGCATTTTTGTTGTTTTTTTTTGTTTTGCAGACTGGCAGCAGCAGAGGCAATAGTGGATCAGCTACTGGAGGGCATCAGGGCATGCAGGGTGCCACAAAGAAGGTCCTCAAGGTCATGCAGCAGGAGTCGTAGCTCCAGGGACAGGGTCAGCAAACTTCATGTACCCAGTATGGCTGGAGGAGCCAAGTTAAGGGGCAGGATGCTTTGGTGCCAAGCCAATGATTCCAGGGTCACGGCAGGGGGTTTCTAGGGAACAGTGCATCCTGCCCAGGATTTCTTCTTCTATTTATAGGTCATAGAGCTGGTCATTATCAACACATACACAGCATCGGGTGGTTCCCTTGGCTGGCACAATGACCTATCCATGGATACGTTGAGTCCTGGACCCAGTGGACTCAAGATGCAGCCCAACGGCCCTCGCTGGCTGCATTGCAGCTTGTTTGGTGAGTCGGACACCGCATTGCACTTACATTGTTTATTGAACATATTACAACTCTTAATATTGGGTGGGAAACAAGGCACTAATGTTGGACAGGTTTGGACTCCAGGTTCGGAGGTTCCTTTGGGTTCCAGGTCTGTTCTCAGATGCCATGAGATGAGTGGGGTTGTGAGGGATGCAGCCTTGGCATCGGTGGTATTGGAAGTGGAGAGAGAGGGAATGGAATTGTCTGGCAATGTCCCTGATGCAGCGAGGCAAAATGCATATGTGTCTTTTGCCCTGCCTATTGGGGTCCATTTTGAAGCAGGATGTCAAGGAGACGAAATGGAAAGAGTTCTGTAAATTCGTCACGGTCCTTCCTTTGGGGGAATATATTGATCTCCAAGAGAAGGACAAAAAGGACATGTAGAAGGAGAAAGAGGAGAAATGGAAGATACCAAAATCATTCAGGAACTGGCTAAAGGAATTTTGCATCCTTGCCAGCGTGCTCGGAGAGAAGTCACCTGGACTTGTTCTTATTAATTGGATGCTATTTGGAAATTTACTGCACTTACCAGGGGCTGGCTAGGTGGAAGTATAATGAGCAGTTTTGGCAACAACTCTCCACTAGCCTGAGGATGAGGTAGGAACAGATGGACCTGCCTCTGTGGATGAAGCTGATCATGGCGCAAAAGTGAGGGCCTCCTTTCAGCAGACAGCCAGCACTCGGGGTCAGTGCACCTCATCAACCACATACAAAAAGGGCTTTTGCTGGCTCTTTAATGAGAGCCAATGTAAATGTGGTTCTACATATAAGTCTCTGACTGTGGTGGCACCCACAGCCTTAAAAGATGTTTCAAGAGGGGAAGAGCTGGTGCCTCCTCAGGGAATGTGAGGTTAGATGTAATTCTACATGGCTAAGCCTTTATGGTAACAAAGCGGATTGTGAGTTGTTACAGTTGGGCTCTAAACAGGGTTTCTTTATACCATTTCGGGATCAGGGGGTTGTACAGAGTTTTTGTAACTTGTGGTCAGTTTTTTACCATGCGGTCGAGTTGTATAAGGGGGACAAGCCCGATGACCTTAGGGCTAAGTGTATTGGTGGCTTTTCAACCTGTTCACTCTGAGTATCACTTGTTGGGTTGTTATTCAAAGGATTGTTTTTTGTAGATTTGTCTTATGGTTGTTCAATTTCTTGCTCGTACTTTGAGAAGTTCAGTTACATGGTTACATAGTTACATAGTTACATAGCCGAAAAGAAGACTTGCTTCCATCAAGTTCAGCCTTCCTCACATATGTTTTTGCTGTTGATCCAAAAGAAGGCAGAAAACCTAGTTTGAAGCGCTTCCAATTTTGCCACAAACTAGGAAACAATTGCTTCTTGACCCCAAAATAGCAGTTCCTTTTTGGCATGGGTAGTTAGGAAGGGAGCAGGGAGTCAGTCAGTGACTATTTGGATAATATATTATAAGTGGGTCTGGCAGATTCTCCATTATGTCTTTATTTGTGAGGACCACTGAATGGGTGGAATGGCTTTTTGGGTTGCAGAAGGTGATGGTTGAGGTACGTCGGGCCAGAAAGGTTACTTTGCAGCAGCTCCAGGTACTGATAGGTAAACTTAGTTTTGCCTACAGGGTGATCCACAAAGAATGCACTTTAAGCAGTATCCTAAAGCTGCCCCACCATTTCTCCATGTGACTTCTCATATGAAGGTGGACCTAGGGGTGTGAGACATATTCTTGGAGCATTTCAATGGAACGGTGCTCATTCGGAAAGCATTTCAGCCGTTCATCTGGAACTAGTCACTTTTCCTTCAAGTGGAGGGCGGAGCCGTGGCTGGCGACTTTGGCCAATAACATGCTTATTTGTAACATCACTTTTCTTGAACTTTTTCCATTGGTGATGGCTCTCTCACTTTGGTGTGATCTGCTTAGAGATGGGAAGGTTTTCTTTAAGTATGCAAGCGGTCAACAATCTGTGGGCTCCGTCCATCCCAGTGGTGCACTTCTTGCGCAGGTTTGTAATATGGTTTTCACTGCGTGGCATGTCCTGGGGTATGTGAACATTGTGGCTGATACGATGTCTCGTTTGCAATGATCCTGATTTTTCCTGGCAGAGGTATTATTCAGTAGACTTGTGCATTCGTTATCGGACGAATATGATTTCCCCCAAATTTTCTGACTTTTTCGTATTAGTTTACTATAATGCCGAATGCATTAACTTTTTTGTTTCAGTTCTTTCATTTAATAGACTCCGTGCTGCAGGAGAATTAACCCCCACAGCACTGAGGAGAAACAAAAACCGGGATCTCCCTGCAACAGGAGACTTAAAGCCACACTGTCATGCCGAATTTACCTTTCTCCAATTGCTTCGTCTTCTCCCGTCTCTCAATATCCATTCTTCATTTCATCCTGTCTGCTCTAGTTTTCTTTAAAACATAAGACAAAGTAGGGACTATTTTGTCTTATATATTTTTCCTACGCTTGACCCAGGGAAGGAGCAAAGTCCGCTCCATTTCCTGTGGTCAAATCAATTTTCCGACAATACTCACCTTCCTCCTGCTGTGTCATTCGGCGAATTTCATCTTAACAGAATGAGAACAATTTGACCATTCGTGTTAGGACACAATCTATTTCCCCCCCCGCCCACACATGTGACCAGTGAGTTGGGGCCCAAAATAACAATAGGGGGGACCTGTTGTCTCCCCCCAACCCCCACCAATGGGTGGCGGGTGGAGGCTTAATGTAAAAGTAATCCCCCAAGGTTACTAGGAGTCCCCAAGCCCCTAGTCCACCCCATCGAATAAAATAAATTCCTACCTACCCCCCTCACCCTTAAATAGTGAGGGGGGAATAAAAAGCTAAATACCTGTAAATAAAAAAAAAATCATGCTTACCATTAGATGTCTACTTTTTCTAAAAACCTTCTTTTTTCAGCCCCAAAAAAGGCCAAATCCAAATCCAAAATTCCTGTCAAATTTGTAAAATAAATTATAAAAAACTAAGCCGAAAAAAACCAACCCGGCACTAAAAAGAATAATCCAACCAATCAGAGCGCTCTCAGTCAAATCCCCCTATTGGGTCCCCCGCCTATTGTCCGCTGCTCATGGGTGAGGGCTGGGGGGGACAACAGGTCCTTCCCCCCTCCTATTTTCACTAGGGCCCCCATCTGCTTCTTATGGGTGGGGTCGGGTGGATGGACAATAGGTCTTCCACCCCTATTGTCACTAGGGCCCCCACCCGCCGCTTATCGGTGGGGGCCTGGGGGTTAGGCAGTAAGTTCCCTCCCATTCTATGTGAGGGCCCTCACCCATAAGTGGTGATGCTTAGTGTGTTAAAATGCCTTTTGTCACTGGATTTTTATATGACCAACTGCCCTTTGCCCCTGGCTGTTGGAGGAGCCTGATTGCCAGCCTCCTCCCTCATGACTATGGCCCTGGGGTGTATTGCCATTTAAAAAGACTATTTGGTGCTTATTGGCTTCTAAAAGACTGTTTCTGCCCATTTGAATCCATGGGAAGATGTGTCTCTTCCCCTCCCCTGTTTCCTGTCTATTGTTCCAGCAGGGCATTGTCCCAGGCACACTGCCAGACCAGTTGGAACCTGCTGTTTTTCCCCTCCTCGGTCTCTCATCAGCTCTTGCTTTGTTTTAACCATATGGCGATTTGACTGTGGTTGTGGTATCTGAGCACGTGAATGTGATGTATACTTTTAGAGTTATGAATATTGTGTAAAACTATGAATTTTCTTGCCTGTGATAATTAAGTTAGACCATTGTGTTCAGTAATTATATCACAGGCAGAGGGGAGGATTTTGTGTGGGAGTGTCTGAGTGTATTGTACGTATTGATTGGTTGTTCTGCAAAACCCTGTGGGCAGTACAATGTTTGTAGAATGTGAATAAAAGAGGCTGTATGTGCCAGTACAGTCAGTTCTACTTCACCCTCAATTTGGAGTGCCGTCTCTTATTGGGGGAATCTGCTACAAAGGATTGCTATGCTCTGCATATTCTCTTGCTATAATCACTCCTAAGCTCTTGTAAGAGCTTGTTCCTGTCCTGCTCTCTGAAGGAGTCCACGGTGGTTATTGTAGCGGAGATGCAATATTACCCAGGTTATCTCCGCTTATAATCCAAGTGAGACTCAGGAACAAGTAGATAGTAAATCCAAAGGCAGGGTTTCCAGCAGGTAAAATACAGCAATATCCCAACAGCAATCCCAATAACTGGACGACACACAGTTTCAGGAGCATAACTGACAAGCCTTTAATCACAGTCTCCTTATAAAGCATGCTCCCATGCAAGGGAGGAACTTACAGTAATTATTACAGTAGCCAATCCTGTCCTGGTAACCTCCCACACATCTCCTCCCCTCAGCCAGCATCATAATCCCCTTATCCAGCACACCAATTCCCCCCGTTTCTGGATGTACCCCTAAACGTAGGGGTACCCCTTTAAATCCTACACCCCCTGATAGCCCTGATCTGGGTGAACAACATATCCAAAAATCACCCAGATCGGACCAGGGGTTCGGGAAAAGTATGGAGGGAATAAAATGACCGACCGCACGAACAGAGATAGCCGAATTCGGTTCCATGGGAATGGGCCTTGCGGTCGGTCCTGGCATAAGGGAATAAAATACACGAAAGCCTCTAGCTATAGAGGCTAGGGAGGGTTCGCCTGAATCCCCTCGTTCGGTATTCTTTATTTACCGAACGAGGGGCCGTTCGGTAGTTTGGAACCGAACGGACCAGGGCTGTGGAGGTCTCAGCGGTGTTCGCCTACTCGAGTGTCCGATTTTAGTTCCAGGCACTCGACGGCAAAACACCGCTGTTCGGGAGTTTTAAAATGGCCGCCGCCACGTGTTCGTTTGTCGAATGGCGGCCACCCCCGAGAACAAAGGACGGCTACTTACTGTTCAATTACCCGTTCGCAACAATGTTGCAACGGGTAATTGAGGACACACTTCACACAGGGAGGTCTGGTTGTTCGGTAGTTTCATTCGAATAAACTAAGGGAATGAAACTACCGAACAATCAGAGGAATACAATTCTTTTTAAATACACAGAAATTACAGCAGATACACGTATGCAGCTTTATACAGTATTTCTTGTAGGGTCGCCTGGTGCCATCTGCTACAGTTATAGTGTCGGCTTGAGTGCTTGGAGCCCTCAGGAAGCGCTAGGAGCATCCTTCAACGGAGATACCCAGTCGGGGTGCCAGGTGATCCGTTACACTTAGTATTAGTAAATTTGGCTGAAAGACCAATTTATCTTTTAATAGATAGCTCCCTAATACCTTGGAAATTAGGGAGTTATCTACTGGCGGCACGAATAATATCAGAGTTTTAGTAATTCAAATTAAATTCCTATCCGAACAAAAACTCCTGAATTGCATCCTAACATGAATGGACAAACTGTTCTCATTCTGTTAGAACGGAATTTGGTAGTTTTGCTGGCGTTCAAACGCCGAATGAAGCAGCAGGAGCAGGAGTAGGAGCATGCTTTAACCTCCCTTTTTTTAATGTGAGAGTCATAATGACCCCCATAGGTTTTAATGCAAGGGGGAGGAGTACTAATTGTTAATATTTATTACAAGGAGGGAGCTGGTAGTGCTGCCTGCTCACTCCTTCCTTTTTTGTTTGCGCATGTGCAGTATTATTTTCATCATAATGGGTGAAAACTAATTTATTTTTACAGAATTTTGACTGAAAAACAAATGTTTTACGGTCGAAATTCAGAATAGACAAATTCAATTTTTATTTAGTACGAATTCATTCATTCGAAGCGAAATGTCTATTATTCAGGCATCCTACATTATTATTGCTTCAAAATTACAAAAATAAATTGCATTCATTCTACAGAATCTAAATATATTCACTATTTATTAACTTATCAATTATCCCCCCAAAAAATATCCTTAAAGGGACACAATAGTAAGCAATACAACTTTAGCTGAATAATGCAGTTTTGGTGTATAGATCATGACCCTGCAGTCTCACTGCTCAATTCTCTGCCATTTAGGAGTTAAATCACTTTGTTTATGCAGCCCTAGTCACAACTCCCTGCATGTGACTTACACAGCCTTGCTAAACACTTCCTGTAAAGAATCATCTAATGTTTATACTTCCTTTATTGCAAATTCTCTTTAATGTAGCATTTCTTATTTCATGCTGTGTTAATAGCTTGCTGGACCCTGCAGGAGCCTCCTGTATGTAATTAAAGTTAATTTAAAGAGCTGATAATACAAAATTGTAATGCAAGTTACTGGGTAGATGCAAACAATATGGGGAATACCGCTGTAGATCTACAATATAAAAGCAAATAATAGTGTGATAGTGTAATGTATATCAATATATATATATATATATATATATATATATATATATATGTGCATAATAGGTTGAACTCACAAGAAACATGAAAATAGCTCGCCCAAGGGTGCCTCCCCTGATATGTGGGGGGCCAAATCCACTTCCTTTCCTCCAATGATACTGGAACTGGACTCAGGATAGGTATAAAAATATATTCTCCTTTTTTATGAAATAATATAAAAACAAACAATAAAAATGCTATAATACCAGGTCCTACGTGTTTCGTCCTTTAACCCCTTAAGGACACGTGACATGTGTGACATGTCATGATTCCCTTTTATTCCAGAAGTTTGGTCCTTAAGGAGTTAAGGACTTCCTCAGGAACCTTCTGTACAGCTACACAAATGTAATGGTAGCAACAATATAAAAACAATGCAAGTTACTATCTGATTGAAAATGAAACCATTGTTTTAATACAGACTGTGTGAGTCACAGCCATGGGAGGTGTGACCAGGGCTCATAAACAGAAACAAAAGTGATTTAACTCCTAAATGGTAGTAAATTGAGCATTTAGCCTTCAGAGGCATTATCTATACATCATAACTGCTTCATTAAGCTAAAGTTGTTTTGGTGGCTATAGTGTCCCTTTAATAACTATGCACCTATTAGGAAGTATCAGGGCCGTCTTTAACGCGGGGCAAACGGGGCAGCTGCCCCGGGCCCAGTTGCTCCTGGGGGCCCAGAGCAGCTGCTCTGTGGGCCCCGCGATTTGCGGCTCCCGCACACTGAGGAGCATGTGTCAGCAGGGGCCCGGTCGGGCGCTGTGGCGCTTAAACAGCGCGACCGGGCCCCTCTTCCGGTTCTGCAGCCGGCTGGGAGGAGTGACGTCACTTCCTCCCACCGGAGATAGCCGCGCGGGAGGAGGAAGGCAGGGAGGAGGGGAGTTCAAGAAGAGAACTCCCATCTGCCTCAGCCTGCCACTGGACCAGGGAAACCACCCTCAAGGAAAAGGTAAGAACCTGGAGGGTGGCTAAATGTATGCCAGTATGTCTGTGTGTGTGTGTCAGTGTGTGTGTGTGTGTGTGTCAGTATGTCTGTGTGTGTATGTCTGTGTGTGTGTGTGTGTCAGTATGTCTGTGTGTATGCCAGTATGTCTGTGTGTGTGTGTGTGTGAGTATGTCTGTGTGTATGCCAGTATGTCTGTGTGTGTGTGTGTGTGTGTGTGTGTGTGTGTGTGTGTGTGTGTGTGTGTGTGTGTGTGTGTGTGTGTGTCTGTATGTCTGTGTGTGTGTGTGTATGTAGGTATGTGTGTGTGTGTGTGTGTGTATGTGCGTGTCAGTATGTCTGCCAGGATATATTTGTGTGTCAGTGTATATGTGTGTCAGTATGTATCTGTGAATGTTTTAATGTCTGTCTGTGTGTATGTGCCAGTACGTCTGTCTGTATGTCAGTATGTTTGTGTGTGTGTGTCAGCATGTCTTTGTGTGTCAGCATTTCTTTGTGTGTCAGTATGTCTGTGTGCGTATGTAAGTATGTCTGTGTGTGTATGTGTGTGTCAGTCAGTATGTCTGTCAGTGTATGTGTGTATGTATGTGTGTGTGTGTGTGTCAGTATGTCTGCCAGGATATATTTGTATGTCAGTGTATGTGTGTGTCAGTATATATCTGTGAATGTTTAATGTCTGTCTGTATCAGCCATTACGTCTGTCTGTGTATATGTCAGTATGCCTGTGTGTGTGTGTGTGTGTGTGTATATATGTCAGTATGCCTGTGTGTGTGTGTCAATGTGTCTGTCAGTGTATGTGTCTCTGTGTTTTAGTATATCTGTCAGTGTATGTGTTTGTGTGTGTGTCAGTATATCTGTTAATGTATGTGTCTGTGTATGTATGTATGTATGTCTGTGTGTGTGTCAGTATGTCTGCCAGTATATATTTGTCTGTAGTGACTGTGTGTGTCAGTATGTATCTGTGAATGTTTTAATGTCTGTCTGTGTGTGTATGTGCCAGTACGTCTGTCAGTGTGATTGCGGGTTGGACGTAATTGGGGGGTGAGGCAGTGGCAGGGACAGGGCCCATGGGGCCCAAGAAAATGCATTGCCCAGGGTCCTAATCATATTATAGACGGCCCTGGGAAGTATCACTACAAGCTCTCTGCAGACAAGCTCCCAATCCAAGTATTGAGGAGTTTAATGCAATTGAAGAATCTTTCCAAAAATATGTCTTATCTGGATATTATTCCCATGTTCCCAGTATGTAAATGGAAATTAACTATCCAACTATGAGTTTGTGTTACATCTTCTTCAAGTGAGCTATATAGAAATAAGGTGCTGTATATTTTTTATCACCCCTTTTATTTCTTATTTGCTGCTGACAATAATGACTTATTGCTGAATCACAATTGTAGCACCTGAGTCCCTTTACAATACTGTGTCACTTGGAGAGCACAAACAAGGATTAAGAGGTAAAAAAGGGGTTAATGCATAACAAGATTAAAGGAAGAGGTTATGTAAAGTGAATTAAGTGCTGGAACTAGACCAGAGATTCTTAAGGGTTAAAGGAACACTACAAGCATCATAACCACTACAGCACACTATATAGTGCCACGAGTGTCCTGGCATCCCTTATTGTAAGTAATCAAACTGTTATAGTACCTGGGGTCCCTGCCTCCACTATTAATGTCAGAGAGCCAAAGGTTTCTAAACAGGACCTTCTATCCTGAACTAAATCTTGCAGTATGTGTGACACTTTACATTACATTGTGCTGTAGTGGTTATGGTACTTATAGTGTTACTTTAAGGGAGTTGAAAAGCTTCCTGAGAAATTATTATAAACTAAACAAAAAGGGGGGGTGGGCTGACTTTCATGGAGGAGATTTGTGTTTTACTCGAGATTCTCACCAATCTTTATGAATAGAGCATTTTAACAGTACATGCAATCGATCTGAGCAATACCAATATGACTCCCCAGACCCCTGTTCTTTCTGGAATCTGTTGCCGAGGTTGAGGACTCGATTGGAGCCTAATTGCTGTAACTTCAAGGGCGTGAGGCCTTGTGTGGGCCAGATGAGAGAGGTGGGTGATCTCCCAGACCGGGGTTGCCCAGCAACTACTCACATGGAGCAGGCACCTTGTTAGCTCCCCTGGACCGTCGGGTTGTTCGCGGTCCTTCACAGGGAGGCTACCCATATTCGAAGGGAGTGCACAGCAAGGCCATAAACAAAGGCAACCAACACCACGACTCATCCATAATGGCAGACGCCACAAGTCTTGCCCATCCTTTTGCTTCATAGTCTACTATTCTGACCAAGCTGGCAGCTATCATTACTGACTCCTGGCAACAGCTAGAAAACAGAATGCTTCAACATGTCCTACAGCAGGCCTGTAGCCCCCCAGATGTTGCTGAACTACAACTCCCATGATTCTTTCAATTAAACAGATAGCCAGGGAATCATGGGAGTTGTAGTTCAGCAACATCTGGGGGGCCGCAGGTTGGACAGCCCTGCCCTACAGCAACCAAACAACCATTTACCTAGATTGTTCCTACCAAGCACCGAGGCTTTGGCTTTGAAGAGTGCCTCATCATGGCAACGGATTGGGCCTCACACCCCACCTCATCACAAGCAGAAGCTCAATGCTAGAACACATCTCTTGTCTGAGGTGTAACTGAGGAATCTGGTCCAGCAGACTAATCTGCCCCACTTGTGCATGTCCAGAAGCCTGGAATACCTAATTAAGCTGTAGGACTAAGTTGTGCCTTCAGAAGGCATCGGCTGATGAAATACCCAGATTGAGCTATAAGGGCATTAGCACTTTAGATTCTTCTTTACCCTCTCCTTTACACAACAATTAAGCAGGAGTTAAACCTGTTAGGATATGTTGACACCACACACAGTTAGGCTGATCTCAGAGCTTTTCTGTTTCATTTTCTTATTTTTCATCATCATCATCATATGACACAATGGGGGCCTTCTAGGGAACTTACCTATTATTTGTTATAGCTATGTGAACTAGCCTAATTTCTTATTCTCATGTGTTTTCTCTACTGAAGGCAGGTAATTTGTTTAGTCAACTCCTTTCAGCTCTTTTTTTCATGTACCTTATAATCTGAAAATGTGCACTCATCAACATTTTCAGTTGCATACACTGTTTATCAACACATACTCTTACTAGACTTTCTGTCTATGCATCCTTGTAATTTCTACTATACACACAAAATTAAAGGATTTAAAAAAATAAGTAAAGACTATTTTGAAATTAACCAGTTTATTTCTTTCAAAAGATCTCAGTGATGGGCATTGTAATCACATTGTGGAACAAAGTAAAATAACAAATTATATAGATTATTGAGTTTAGAAAGTTGGATTTGTGCTGCATATTTATACGCTACATCCCTAGAGTCAGTGAACAACATTAGCTTATGCTGTGCAATATGTTTCCTTACCAAGGGATTAAACACAATTTGTTTCTGAGCAGAGTAACAATTTAAGCATAAGGGCTGCATGTTATTTTATCAGTATGTAGAACTGCAAATGAGAGATCAGAGTGTACAAACCATAAACAAAGATTTCTAAACTGTAAACTGGGTAAAATTACAGGGTTTTTTTTACTTTGAAGTCGAAGTGAGCATTGATAAAGCACTTTACGAGTGAAGAGTGTGTTCTATTTTTCTCATTTTAAAAATTAACAAAAATACAGATTTCTATAGAATTTTATTGATCAGCTTTGCTACACCCCCTGGCTGTCAATCTAGTAACTGATCAACTTTCTAGTTTGGTTGGCTCAGTGGGGCTAAACTCAAGAGGCAGCAATTGTCCGGATCACCTGCCTTGCCAAGACTTCTAATTGAGCTGCATTGGGAAGTCTGTGATCAGACAGCCACAGAAAGTCTTGGCGGGGTTAGAAGGGGAGGGCTTGAATAAACATACCACCCAGAAGGGGTGAGAAAATCAATTTTCTGTATATATACACTGTACATATGCCAATCAGCCACAGCACTAAAACCACTGACAGGTGAGGTGAATACAATTGAATATATTGTTACAATGTCAAGGGGTGGAATATATTAGGCAGCAATTGAACAGTTAATTCTTGAATTTCATGTGCTGGATACAGGGCAAAAATGGACAAGTTAAAAGGTCTAAGTGAATTTGACAAGGGTCAAATTCGGATGGCTACATTACAGGGTCAGAGCATCTCCAAAATGACATGTCTGAGGGGTCTTCCCAATATGCAGTAGTTACTACCTACCAAAGTGGTACAAAGAAGGACAACTGGTGAACTGGCATCATGGTAATGGGCACCCAAGACTCTTTGATGCACACGGGGAAGGCTAACTGCTCTGGTTTGATCACACAGAAAAGACACTGCAGCTCAAATTTCTGAAAATAATTAATGCTGTCCATTATAGAAAGCTGTTAGAGCATATAGTGCATCTTAGTTTGCTGTGTATGGGGCTGCGTAGCTGCAGAACATTTAGAGTGCCCATGATCACCCCAGTCCACCATCAAAAGTGCCCTCAATGAGGATGTGAGCATTGGAACTGGACCATGCAGCAGTGGAAGAAGGTTGCCTCTTCTTATGAATCACATTTTATTTTAGATCAGATGGATGAACTGGTGTATGTTCATTTTTTACCTGGGGAAGATATTACAGCAGGATGCCCTATGGGAAGAATTCAAGCCAGCAGAGGCGGTGTTATGCTCTGGGCAATGTTCTACTGGGAAACCTTGGGTCCTGTCATTCAATTGGATGTTACTTTGATATATACCACCTACCTACAGATTGTCGCAGAACATATACATGGCAATGGTGTTCCCTGATGGCAGTGCCCTATTTTAAGCAGGCTAATGGACACCGCAACAATTGTTCAGGAATGTTCTGAGGAACATGGCAAATAGTTTATATTGCCTTGGCCTCCAAATTCTCCAGATCTCAATCCAATTGAGCAATTGTGAGCTGTACTGGAACAACAAATCCAAAACATGGAGGCCCCACCTCAGAACTTGCAGGACATAAAGGATCTGCTTCTAATGCCTTGGTGCCAGATACCACAGTACACATCCAAATGGCTTGTGGAGTCCATGTCTTTATGCATCAAAGCTGTTTTGACAGTACAAGGAAATCCTACATGATATTAGGCAGGTGGTTTTAATGTTGTGTCTTAGTGCACACACACACACACACACACACATATATATATATATATATATATATATATATATATATAATGTAAAAACTGTACAGCATGGTAGGATTTTGTTATTAAAATAAAA